GGAGCAGGGCACTTGAGCTCAACCACTGTGCCACTGGCCCTGCCGGATACAGCTGCCCTTCTTAAACCTTGCCTAGCACCTCCCTCCAAAACAACAACAACAACAAAACCCATGCCAACATCAACAAATGAGAACGATTAAATGTTTCAAATACTATAAGGAATGTTGCACACTAATATTGTAGGACACTGCATTTGGAGAGCTATTTCCCAAGTTAAATGAAGCACCTTTATGCCATTTATATTATGAAATCATCGTTGCTGTTCGAAAACCATTTATACTAACTGGTTTACTTGTAAGCTCATATCATTCTCTGCACTCCCACTTTACATGTGTTATATATACTCTGGTGTACACAAACTCAACTAGATAGATATTTATTCTATAAATATTAAAAACTGACAGAGAGGCAGGAAACATACAGATGAGAAAGAAAACAAATGACCTTAAACCATATTTTTTTAAGTCGTGCAGAATGAGTACTATAGTCCTATAGTTTTGTATAAGTCACTATAGGAAAAGAATATCAGATCGGCCACCAACATTTGACCTGAGGCATCTAGATATGACACTAAGGAAGAAGAAGGGTGATATTTCTTTTTTCACTTATATTTTCCAAATAATTTTCTTACCTTTTACTTTTATAGTCCTATGATTTCAAGTTTAAGACTTACTAAGAGTACAAATAGGAAAGATTCTCAGATGTGCCATGATACAAGCCAAACTGATCAGATGCAAACATGTCAGAGCATCAGGCTTAGGCCTGAATTATCCAGATAATTGTCCAATTTCAGTTCATCAAAAACGCAGGCTTGGCGTCTGCATTTTTAAACAAGATAGAATGTGATTATTACATAAAGGCTCATGCCCTATCACAAGACTGGTTTAAAACAAATAATTGAGAAACAGTATAAATAAAATAAAACCAATTCCTTATATTTAAAAACCATAATGTTGGCTTATACAATAGCAGTTTATAGACAGAGCACACTTCTCAAACTTTAGGGTGCCTCAGAATCATCTGGAGAGCTTATTAAAACACAGATTACAAGGCCTGAAGCCCAGAGATTCTAATTCTAATTTTAATTCTTGATCTGCTGCTGCTCCAGATCATACCTGGAGTGGCACTCGCCTAGAATACTGACAGTGACAGGAATGTTCATGCAGGTAATTCTTATTGTAGTCCATGTCCTCACTTATTGTAGTCTAAGTCCGTAGGTTTTAAGCCAACTATGTGTGCTCTTGATGGGAGAGAGACTGCACATGTTTTCCCCAATTTGCCAGTGATCTTATGATTCAGTTGGGAAATTAAAATATTGATGAACTCCTCAAGACTTAAAATTTCTTTCAAATATTGGCAGAAAGTTAACAACACAGATGCTTTTCTGGCCTTAGGTCAGATTTTACTCCATATCAATGATCTTTGGAAACTTTATCCGAATTCCTGTTGAAATTGTTTATTTCAGAGCTAGGATGACCAGATCCAGCCTATGTCTCTTGAGTGTGAGCAGCATTGTTTTGCAGAGGCAGTGGCTAAAATAGACCAGACATTCCCATTGGCTGTTTGGTCATTGTGCTTTTTAGTGGAATTACAGCATGTTACAATATTTTTCTTTGCAGCTTAAACATTGAGCAAACCCAGACATCCGGAGATGCTAAAATGAAAAATCTGTTTCCTCTTGCTTTGCAGTTTGCCAAGTGAATTCCGTCAGACAGCACATTCTATACATTTCAAGTAAATGAAGTTACCCTTAATGTGTTGGCAACATCTGTCACAAAACACTCTTCCGTCTATGGCTTAAATGCATTGGATAAGAATGGATTTGACAGTATATTTAACGAGGCATAATTATGGTTGAGGGCACTAGTTTTACGCTGTAACAACTATAGGTTTTTCTTTTCCTTTTTTGTTCTTTTTTCTCTCTTTTTTCTTTTCCTGTTTTTATGTCCTATACAATACAAAGGAGATTCTGTCATATTTGATGAGCGAAGTGGCTGGCAAACGCCATTCTTTGTTGTGGATAACCTGTACTTCAAACTCGCTAAGTTGTCTGTCCCCATAAAGTATCATCCAGAAAATCTGTTTCTCCAAGGAGTTCCTGCCGACTACTTCCAACTTATTCACAAATTGTAAATTTCTTCCATCCCATGAGACTGTTAAAGAATTTATTTTCTTAATAATTTGTGGGAATCTTTTTTTCACTGAACATTTTTACTGAATATGAACAAGAATGTATGTTCTTACATGTCCTTCCCCAAGAATCTTTATTTTATTGTTCATTTATTTGCAATAACTGGTCTGGTTAAGAAAGAAATGTTTCCCTTACATTGTTTCCCACTCCGTGCCTAGTACTGCTATTTACAATTCCAAATTATGACAAATCCTTTCCCGCTCTTCCCTTTGATTGTCAGGTTTCTGGTTTATACACAGAAGCAGCACTCACTCGGTGGCATCTGTAATCAAATGAGTCCCCAAACACTTTCTGCGAAAGGATTCTCTAAAGAGACCCAGACAATCCTTCCTAAACTAATTCCAAATGCAGGCATTCAATCCTTCTATTTTTATCATGCGTAGATTTTGATTCATCTGTCACATGCTCACATATCTCATTTACATATTTCCTCCCAAACAAAGACTGAAGTCTACCTCTCGCACTATTGGGGAGTGAGATCACCCCCAGGGCATTGAGAAGAAAGTATCTTTACCAAACACAATTTGATCTTTATCTCTGATTTATGACCAAGGATCTTTTATGTGGCCAGAGCAGGACGATTAGAATTGAGGGGTTTCCGGGATTGTGTCAGTGTAGCTGTATGTTGGAATCTCTAGGGGCAAATATTCTAAGAACATAGCCTAAGTCTCAAGTTCAAGAAGAATATTGAAGTCCTGCACCTGCGAAGGATTAGAATATTGTGAAAGCGCCACTTTTTGGTTGAAAAAAATGTTCCAGGACTTCTGTCTTAATGCTGAGGTCATTCTATAGGTTACCCCTAATGGATATTAAGAAGAACCCCAGTTCTTCTTAAAGTGTTTACTGCTGGTCGGACACAACAAATACCTGAAAGGAAGGCCAGTAAGTTTTTTTTTTAAGAGGAAAAAATAAAGATGCTTTTGTTAAAGAAATTCAGGCAGCAGGAAGGAAAAAGGATGTGTCTCTGCATTATAATTAAGTAAAAGCTTATCTTATGTCTCTCATTCAAGAAGCATCCTAATGAATGACAATTCACAGAAGCATCAAGAAATTCAAACAATACAAATGCACAACTGTATATTTACAAGCTACAGACCTATAAAATAACATATATATCTTCTGATTGATTCTAGCTCAAAAGTCCAAAGAGTTTTCAGAACAAAGCTGTCTCTATATATCAAACATTTCCAGATATTTGGCTCAATTTCTATTCTCCCTTCATATTAATGGAGGAGGAGCCCATAAGGAAGGCTGAGTGATAGCCTGATCTTTTAACAGATACAGTTAGGAAGTTGGATTTGGATAATACCACTAGGAACTGATTATCCTGAGCAAAAGTGTTTTAGAACACATTTGCTTGTGGGTAATTAATTTGGGTGCTGAGATCCTGCCACCTACATGAATCTGTCCTAGTTTTGTTTCTTCAAAATGTTTACTTATGTGGAATAAAGGGTCACATAGTGAGAAAAATAACGTTTACAGAAAAAATAGCATTCAGGTACATAATCATTTTATTACCACTGTGTGTTTAAATTACTTGTTATATGAAGAGCTTCCCCCTTTATTATCATCTTTAAAATAAAGCATTGGAATTATAAAATCTCAAAGATTTCATCCAATCCTATCATTTCAATTAAAAAAATATATATTGTTTCATTCTCTAAGTTAGTCAATTAAGGCAGAATTGTAGGATAGAGGAAAGGGGTAATGTGACCTGACTTCATGCTTCACTAACCATGTAATACTTTGTATATGGACAGAAGTTTTCTAAAGTATCTATTTCTTGCATTCCCAACAGTTATAAGAAATCAAAAAGAATATTCTAGAAGAAGACATTTCCTACCATCTGATGAAACACTTGACATTTTTGCAAAAAAAAAAAATTTTAGCAGTGTTGCATTTGAGTAGCATTTAACAGAGTTCAGTATTCTTCTGTCAAAAGCACACATAGAAAGAAAGTAGGTCAAAAGATTATGAGTAAAAACATAGGAAATAGTAACTTTGATTTTTATAACATTTATATTAGATTTTAACGTGTCCCTCAAAGAGATCCAGTTAAGAAACCCATCTGGGGGCCGGCCCCGTGGCTTAGCAGTTAAGTGCTCACGCTCCGCTGCTGGTGGCCCGGGTTCGGATCCCGGGCGCGCACCGACGCACCGCTTCTCCGGCCATGCTGGGGCCGCGTCCCACATGCAGCAACTAGAAGGATGTGCAGCTATGACATACAACTATCTACTGCAGCTTTGGGGGAAAAATAAATAAATAAATAAAATTAAAAAGCATATGAAAAGAAATTACAAAAAAAAAAAAAAAAGAAAGAAACCCATCTGGACCAGCATTATCCCCCTGGTGGTAGACTGTATTGATGATCAAGAATTATCCATATAAATCATGGATAAATGGCATAAATTTAAGTCTTATTTAATATCAAGAAAAGCTAGAGAATTTCCATAGTATTCATATTTTTCAGAGAAGTTTGTATTTAGAACAAATAGAGAGAGGATATATATGTTATCTTGGACTGCATTCTACATTGAATATTGGAATTGTAAATGACAGGCATTTTAGACACATCACAGATAAATCACATCAGAGGAAAAGAAGTTACTAATGCTGTATATTTAGATGCCGTATATTTAGATGAACGCAAAACAACATGGAGGGATGTAAAAATCATACATTGTTGAATTTAGCCTTTTCAGTAAAAAGTAAACACATTTGATGTTAATGAAGTTACTGTGTTTAGTTTTTAAAAAGTTTCCTTCCTTGTGGAATGTGTTTTCAAATGAACATTGTATGTGCTTGTAGGGTGCTGTGATCACGCCGACAATGGACCATCCTATGTCAATGCAGCCAGCCAACATGATGGGCCCCCTGACACAACAGATGAATCATCTTTCGTTGGGCACAACAGGAACGGTGAGTTGAAGGGTTATTTTGGTTTGTTTTCTTGGACTTCTTCAATAAGATGCAATACTCTCTGTTTTCACTGCCATTATTAGCAAAACTGGTTCTATGCCATTGACTAACACACCTTTCAGGTTCCGGTATGAATAAACTGCATTCTGCATGCATATTCAGTTCCGGGGCACGTTTACTCACATTGACAAGGCTGGAGGTTCTACTGTGTTGCATTTAAATTTGAGTTACTTCTTGTTCTCAGGACATAGTACACCAGGCATAATGTCTGTTTTTGGAAAGGTGTCTTTATGCATGCACCTGCGAATCTAGACCTTGTAACTTAATACACTTGAGCCTGGTTTTCTTTTCCTAGATGCCTACCACTCAGCTCATATATCATTCCCAGGTTATTCTTCACAAGCGAGGGACCAACCCTGACTATGACTAATATTTAGGGCTTTTTATTTACTGTCAATGTTTAAATCGATAAAAAGGAATTGAGAACCTGACATAATCGAGTTCTTTTAATTTTTCCTTTGAATATGTCGACATAGATGATGTTGAAAAAAAGGAAAAGGATCTAATGTACTTGATCTTTTTTATAGGTTGGGATATTTTTGACTAGCCATTATTTTTCCTTAGGGAACAAAAGTATATCGAAAAATGCCTATTGCAGCCTCAATTTTATATCACGAGCCGTTTGAAATTATTAGCAAAACTTTATGTTTGTTTGTAAAAAAATCTATTGTAAGACAATTCCCCAAATGCTCAAGAGGGCAAATGTCTAATACAACCTGGAATACTGCAACTTTGCTAATTACCATTATAGAGAACAACGAAAAACATTAAAGCCAACCTCCCATGTGACACCATTGGTAACAGTTTTATTTTCCATAATGTTAATGCGGATAATTTTGTCATTTTTAAAGATATAGAAAGAATAAATGTATTTTGTTCTGACTGAGGCAGCTTAAGTATTATAGAAAGAGCACCGGACTAGGAATTGGGAATCCTAGATTCAAATCTTGACGGAGCCCTGTTGTTTCTATCTGTCCTTGGGAAAATAAGATCCTCTAGTCTCAATTTCCCTCTGTGTCTAGTTGAAGTGTTGATATGATGATATATGGGGCCCCTTTGACTGTATGCCTCTATGTCTTTAAGCCTGTATGTCTCATAGTTACCACTTCTGTGATTCTTCACAGTTATGCTGGCATCATCTCCAAATACCTACATACACTACGGACGCTAGCTACTGATTGGAAATTTTACCTTAAAGCAATGACTTCCTTGCCACATGGATATGTTGACTCAAAGGCTTTTTGGAATATAAGCAATTTCTGACACGTCCACTGAGACCTCAATAATCTGTTCTAAATAGAAAGGAAGTCTATATACCTAATGGAAAGAGTCACATTGTTTTGATAAAGAAATTTGATTTTGGGCCGGCCTGGTGGCGCAAGCAGTTAAGTGCACGCGCTCCACTGCGGCGGCCCGGGGTTCGCCGGTTCGGATCCCGGGCGTACACCGATGCATCACTTGGCAAGCCATGCTGTGGTGGTGTCCCATATCAAGTGGAGGAAAATGGGCATGGATGTTAGCCCACGGCCAGTCTTCCTCAGCAAAAAGAGGAGGATTGGCAGATGTCAGCTCAGGGCCGGTCTTCCTCAAAAATAAATAAATAAATAAATAAAGTAAAAAAAATTAGTTTTATTAACATAAACAAATTACCTATCTCTAAGACCTCAGTTGCTGAACCTATAAGAAACAGTTGATACCTTACCTCTCTGAAGGCTTGGGTTTGATCAGATGATTTCTTAGTTCTATGACTAAGACTTTTCAAAGTCATATCTAAGACTACATTTAACTGTACATTATGGTACAGCTAACTTTCGTCAGGAAGATTGTGAAGATAGTATTTCTACAGCTTTTAACAACGCATAAGGATTATCTGTAGTCACTTTGCTCATTTACTAACAAAGCAGATCCCAAGAACAGTATTGGGAAGCCTGAACTTTCTCATGTTCCCACTACTGATTTTTCCTTCATTTTAGCCTTCCTCTCCTTAAATGATCATAAATTCTGAATAAGTGAAGTAATGCTATCCTGTTGTATTGAAATCTGATGAAAGAGGGAGTTATAATGCAAAGCATAGAAAGAAACACTTTATAAATCCTACTCATTTGAATCAAAAGCACAGCCAGCTGACTTGCTGAAGTTTCAATTTGCAAGCTGGAAAAATACAAGAGCTAAGTTGATTGAAATATGACTAAATCCTTTAGGGAATTGAAAAATAAGCTAACATATATAGAACAGAATCGGAATTACAATAGTTATTGATTCAATAACATATTATGATTAGTATTTGAGCATTTTCAACAAGAACACATTTATACAAGACCACAGTTTTTACCCAGCTAGTAATAGCAAAATTATTCAATAATGATATATATCCCTTCCCTTTCTTAGAAAACAAAGTTTTAAGCATGTGGCTTATTTTTAACACCACTTTCGTCTAGTTTTTTTTTCATTCTTCTACCCCTTCAAATTTGTACTAAATAATGCTTAGGTACCTTATAAGCTTTGAGTAAATTGATGTTTTGCAAAGGTTTAAAATTTCGTAAGGTTCTGGAAAGGCAGAGAAAAAACAATATTACTTTGTTGATTTATTCAACAAAATATCCCTGGGTATGTTTAATGTCCAGAATACAATTTCTTAAACTGTCACTCTTACACTTTGATATGCCATCATAGGTTCATTTTATCTGTATTTTTGATTGGCATTTGAAGTTGCTATTATGCCATTGAATTGATTCATTTAATCAAATTTCCCCACCATATTGCATCTTTTTAACATACTTTATCCAATGCTGGGAAGGTGGCCTGGTGTCATGGAAAGAATAGTGGGCATTGGAATTAAACTTGAGTTCAAAATCTGGGTCTCCCCTTATTAGCTGTCCATATTTAGGTAGGTTACCTAACCTCTCTGAACTTTTATTTCCTCTTTTACAAAGTAGGGAGAGTAATATTTACATCTCAGGGATGTTGAGATGTTAAATGGAATGATGTATGTAACATACGTCAGACAGTGTGTGACACCCAGTAGATGCTTATCAAATGAGCCATCCTCACCCTAACTGGTGAGGAATCTAGCCCAGCTCACCAGAAGGGATGTAGGACACTATCAAGTCCACAGTACAACCCACTGGCCTGCTCTGTTTCGTTTGACATAATTTATTTCTTTCAAGTTTCCACTTGTTTAGCTTCTGACATGCTCTTTCAGGGCTGTAAACCCAAAAGTCTATAGAGGCCAGCCAAGTCACATTAGTGAATAAAGTTGACAAAGTTGAAGCAAAAAACTGAGAAATATATAGTCAAATTTGGTCTGTATTTACCTATGTCACAAACACAGTCGTGTAATATAAATATACATGATATTGGAGATTATATTTTAAATTAGAGATTTTTTTAATGCAATAATGATAATATCTCTGCCTGACTGTTGGATGAACCATTGGGAGAGTTGATGCCTTGGCAGCCTGGGACACTGATGCCTCATCTATAGAGGGCAGCCATTACTCAACTCCAGACAGCTACTGCTACATGGGTATACAGACCCAGGGTGGCCTCACCTTACAATTTTTCAAAATAAGCTAAATATTTGGATTTTAGTGGGAAATTTTGCTATATTTGAATATTGGACCCAGTTTGTTCTAAGAGTTCTCAGTTTGTAACTCCTGCCCAAGGTTTTCCTGGTTCTCCTCCGACCTCTCTGACCATTGCTTCTTCTTTTCTTTCATGTGCTGCTAAGCCAAGGCTTCATTTTTTAATTTACTTCTCATTCATACATGATTTCCTTAAGCAAGCTCATTCACTTTCATGGTTTGTGAACTCTGCCTTCTATGCTAAAGACTTCTAAGACTGAGTCTTTAATGCTAACCTTATCTTAGAATTTTAGACTCGTTTATCCAACTGCTTGCTATATATCAGTGTAAGTCTGCCACTGACATCTCAAAATCAGCACAATCCAAATTAATCTCGTGAGCTTCCCCAAGCTTCCTCCCCACTGACACCCTTCCTCTTATATGTTCCTGCTCCTTATTTCCTTTCAAGCTAATCCCATGACCATTTGCCCAGGTAGTCAAAAGCTACACCCAGGACTCAATTTAGACTCTTCCCTTCTCCCTCACCACCATATAAATTACTTTTCAAGTCCCACCAATTTTGTACACAGACATTTATCAAATACATCCCTTCATCCACATTTCTAGAGTCTCTGCCCTGGACTTCATTTGATTAATTGTAACACTCTCCTAACTGTTGTTTCTGCTTCCAGTCTCAATTTGCTCTAATCCATTATCCACCATGTTGCCACAGCCAGTCAATCTAAAATTATCTGACCATGTCTGTCTCCTACTAGTAACTTTTCAGAGGCTTTCAGATGTTTGAGCTCACTGAACTTCTGCAAAACAAAGTGTGAGCAGTGACAAGTCAAGATTAAGACACAGCCTAACCTCTTTTTCATCTTCACAAAATTAGATAGATTTGGTCCCCCATAACCTCAAATTTTGAAATGGATGCTATGTAGTTTAATTAACCTTTCTCTACCATTTGCCACCTCAAAGTTTATTGTTCAATTCTCTACCTATTTTTAAGATGAACAGAGTCTGCAGGCCTTAAAAGAAATGAATTTTATGCAAGAAGTGTAACTGTTTTACTCCAGGTCTCTGCTGACCTTGAAGAATTTTCTAGCTCTCCCGCTTTTGTTTATTTTTTGTCACAGGATTCCCTAGATAGCACCAAAGCCCTGTTATCCATAATTTCTTATCACTCTATTGTAAGCTTTAGCAGAAACCACTGGGGATTTTACTGTGTTATGAGAACCTCCAAATTGCATGACAATCTTGTTTTACAAGTTTCTTATCTCCTTTTCATTTGTTCAGTTGGTGGTCACCAGTGGCTTACTATGTCACCAGCATCTGTTGAAAGAAATAAAAAGTTTTTGTTCTGCGGGCTCCTTATCTGCAGTTCTGTTTGTGTTCTCCAAACCACTGGTGATTTGTGACCTCATTGGATTCCCATAGTGTAACCATAGCTACTCACAAAGATAATCTTGTAATTGTACTCTATTTGTTCACCATAGTTCTCTAACATTTTTCGGTCACACTGTTCTTTCTTCATTGCTCTAAAATCCTGACAGTATCAGGTGAAAATCCTGAGTTACTCATTTTGCTTAAAGATTGTCTTTTTTTCAATTATTAGCTATTAATATAATTATTAAGACTGAGAGTGATAAAAACAACATGCAATGTTAAATGGAGTCATGATTAAGAAATAGTATCATAAATTCATAAATGGTAATGAGTACATCTCCTTAACTGGTTTTTCAGGAAAACGTATTAATTAATTAAAAACAGTCAAATACAAGAAAAAATAGATAAAAGGGAATAGTCTTTAAAAATTTGTTTAGCCTTACTCTAAAATATATGAACTTTGAAGGTAGTCTTATAATATAAACAACAAACAAGTAGGCATTATGTGAAAGTCTAGTATTATGAAAATTTATTTGCAAATATTAAGCTTTTGCTATTTAAAAAGTGGATTCTGAGTTCGAATAAATTAGCACAAAATACAAAAGCCCCAATGGATAAAATGCCAAAGGACATGAACAGATAGTTGATAAAGGAGGAAATAGAATGCCAAAAAACTTAGGAAAAAAGTAGTACTCAAAGAAACAGTGATTTAATCAGACATACACATGTTAACTCATGAAATAAATTTATCAAAATAATACACATTGCTGATGAAGGCATAGGGAAATAAACATACCCAATCAGTGATAATGTAATGATAGGAATCTAAATTTGTAAAAGTGTCAGTTGAATAGCAGGGTGGGCAGATAAGACACTTCAAAACAGCTCTACTAATTGACCACGCAGTTATAGTTTTGAGAAGCTATTCTATGGAAATATTCTAAAATAACAGAAAAGCCTTTATACCACAAAAATATTCAGCCCAGTGTTCCTTATAATGTCTATTAAGGAAGATTGATTAAATAAATGATAATCTATCCATAAACCAGACTGTAATACAGCATGAAGTTATATGCGTCTAAAATAATTAGGAAAAGGATTATTTATAATCTTAAATCAAAAAACAGGATGTAAATATGCACAGGTATAGTATCAACTATGAAAAAATATTTATGAAACAAGGCTGTAATAAATACAAAACAAGTGTGGTTATTTCTGGGTGATGGGATTAGAGATAACTTCTATGTTAATCATTATATTTTCTGCATTCTCCAAGTATTCAACAATGAGCATGATTTACTTTTATTATTTATTTTAAAATGTTATGAAGTTATTCTTGGAAAATGACTAGTGGCATGGTCTTAAAATTAACTTTTTTTTTTGGTTTGTGGTAATAAAGATTGCAGTTTTTAAAAAGGTACTAGGAAGTACTACTACTATTAATAATGTAGTTGGAGACCCTTTAAAAATGATTCTACTAATTCTAGACTTGGGGATTATAATCAACTCACTAGTTCACATACCTGTTGCAGTAAACAAAGTAACTCATGCCTAAGGTTTATTTGCATTTGAATCTTTGATCAATGTTTGCTTTTGCTGATCAAAGTGCCTTGCAATATTCAAGTTTTAATCTATCTTCTCACGTGCCATTTATTCATGCAAGAGTGATTAATATTGTCCTTTTTTGGCAAGGAAATGGAAAAATTTGTGATAGTCCAAATTAAGTTCTCAAATAGATGGATAAATGAAGTTTGAGGTTTTCATTTTTAAAATGGAATAATGGTCGTATGAATAAGGGTCACACAAGAGCATCTATTTAACCATGTTTAGGCAGTGTATTTGAATGTGAGCAATATCTGGTCCCTTTTACACAGTTTACCCCTCCAGGGGGAGTTGGGGCTAGGTTAGAACTTTCCATTTGTAGGAGGGGGGCCTTGGGCCATAGGGCATCTCCCACTTTCCTTTTTAAGATCTCTGGCTAAAGGAGTTGTGTTATGCTAAAAGCCTCTTTTTCATCTTCAAAAAAAAGCAGATATATTTGGTCCCACATAACCCCAAATTTTGAAATGGATGCCATGTACTTTGATTAAACTTTCCCTACCATTTGCCACCTCCAATGTTATGACACTTTGGAAAAAGACAACAATCGTCTGTTGAATAGATTCTGTTCTATTTATCTCTGCTCTCACAATTCCAGCACACAAGGCTCCTTGGCCTTGACTGACAACCACTGGGATCAGAGCCGGGCTGAGTGATTAACAATGAAACTGTACCTTCAAAATACATCAGCCTCCATAGAGTATGGGAATGTGCAAATTTTTCATTTATCTCTTTTAAAATTTTAGTTCTTTCTTTTGTTCTCCAGGACTTCATTTCATATAGTGCTCTGGGCCCCTTCCAGGTGGGCTGCCTTGTAGAACTTTTGTGTCAGCCAGAGAGGGTAAAAATTTCACATTGATTCCCCAAGGGAGGCACCAAAATTATGACAGACTGAGGAAGATGACAATGTTCTGAGGCAGACTGTACTGTTCCAGCTGTCCGCACAGAGCCTAACAACACATACAGGGTGGTAGTAATGGGGACCATTGTATCAACTGTAACCCAGGGGTCATAGTGCCCTAAGGGCTTGAAGGCAGGGGACTTAGGCAACCATATGACATACAGTGGGCACTTCCAAGTTTTAGAGCTAAGATTCTATTTTATTTTCTTTTGTACTTCATTGCATTCTTTCTCATGCTCTTTTCATTCAAAGATTCAGTCCCAAGACAGGATTATGATACTCCACCAGCTGTTGTGTCAGGTAGGAAAATTCTAATTCCTTTAAGATTTGATTGGAGGGGAGAGACGGAGGTTGCTTGGTTTTCTCCAACACTCTTTAAAGCAGTGATTCTCAACAGGGCTGGGTACTGGGAATTGGAATTTTAGTTCCAGGGTAGGAAGATAGCTTATGTGGTTCAAAAAAGTATACTTAACATTCCAATCCAGTATTGTGTATGCAAAATAAATATGTTGCTTTTGAAATAAAAAGTTAAAGCTCAAAGATATTTGGTCTGTGAAGGATACACAGAAAATAGAGTCTATGTTCTGTGTATCAGTAATTCTCAGTGTTAGAAGGGTTCTTCAGAATTTCTGGGAAGTAAGAGAAGGATATTTATGTTTATCAAAAGAGGGCACTGATTAATAAAAACAGTTTGAGAAGCACTGCTTTAGAGACCAGAATTCTTCTGAAATCAGAAAATTATCCTATTTTGCTTGCTCAGCACCCAGCATAGTGTCTGACTCATAGTAGGTGCTCAATATAATTGTTTGTTGAATGAATCAAAACTTCAAATTTGTTCCAAAAATGGTATTTTGGATATTGAAAGAGAAGAAGCTGCCAATGTTCCATTTGTACAACAAAGCGGCAGAGGTTGATTTGAGAATACATTAGTGTCTTGAGGATTTTAATTAGCCATGTTTATGTTGGTTCATAAAATTTAGTGGTGCAGTTTATAATAGGGTATATGTGAAGAGGTGTATTCGTATTTTGAACTGCACAGATCTTCCTGTGCTTTGATCTTAATTTTGAATTTTGGTTTCTTGCAAAGAGGAAAATGGGCACAATTTTTCATTTTTGCTGATTTTTTAAACTAAATAAAATACTGGCAGCCCGAAGAGCTTTGAACTCTTTGATCCTTTGATGTGTCAGATGATGAGGACATAAAATCCAAACCAAAAAGGGCATTGGAGAGACAGAGCAAGAGATGAAGGCCAGTAATAGAACAAAAGAGCCCATGGGGCAGTAGAATCTGGCAACTGAACGGTGGTTTTCAAGCAGAGAACATCGTGTTCTTGGCCACCGGGTGTGCTTGACCCAGCATCTGAAGGGTAATCCTTTTCTCATGTCTTGTGGACTTGTTTAATTATGCTCATGGCTGAATACTCATCCTAGAAGTTCAACCGAGAAACAATGAGTTAGCTTTCAACTGTGAACTCACTTTGGTCCTCTTGGAGATCTCTACAAATTTGTCACTAATTAAAATATCACTTATCTTTCCCCAAAGTGTATTACCTGTCATATCTTAACATGCCTGTTTCATTTAGGATATGGGACCCTGGGAAGATACTTTGTTTAATGTATACAGCCGTTGCTTTGTTTAACGTGTGGCATCATTGTTTAATAAGAGGCATCTACTCTTGATAATTCACCAATATTAATAATAATAAAAGACACAAACTGGAACTTTCCTTCAATTAAGTTTCCTGATTTCATTTTTAAGAACACAGTGGAAAAAGTGATGAAAACATCAAAAACACTTACTAGATATCAGCCATGGGTCAGGCTCTACGTAAATCAATTGAGACAGAACATCTGGCTACAAATCTAGGCTTGGAATTCCCACCTTATTCCACAGACAGGTGCCACTGAAGGTTCTTGAGCAAAGGAAGGACTTGATCAAAGTAGTGCTTTCAGAAACAATCTGGCAGCTTCGTATGTGCTTGAGGAACAAGAAACAGTAATCACACAGAACAGTTAGTAAGCCTAAATATGATATTAGACTAAAAGAAAATGCTAAGATCCCAGCAATGAAATACAAAGGAGGAGACTAATATAGAAGTGACAGAAAAAATAACATTTTGGGGGATTTCTCAGTTGTTTTCCCTTCTAAGATTGGATTGGTGGTTTGACATCTTATAAATTTGCACAGACTTCTTTGGCCTCTTTGATCTACCTCTGAATGAAAATACACTTGCCTGCCTAAAATGTTTGTTAATTGTCTGGTGAGCAGAATTTGAGTGACTTTTGAAAAATGGCATATTTTTTGCCCAATCCTTGACCAAATAAAGAAAGTGAAAGTGGGCAAGGTGTTATCATAGCTCCTTCCATATCTCCCAACATGCCAATATTGAACAATTCAAATAGTAATCAATTCTCTGCCAGTGTAGGAGCCGACTAAACTGCCATAATGTATCAGAGTTCAAGATATCTACTTAGTAATCTACAGAGACATAACCAAACCTAATTTCATTCAATCAATATATCAAACATTTATTGAACACCTTCTGAGTACTAGGCACTATACCCAAGTCCTGGGGATACAAAGATGAATAGAAAATAGACCATTCGTAGAAAATATCACAGTTTAATTTAATGTTGTTGTTGTTGTTTGTGATCTTTAAATGTATAAATTTTGGAGGAACTAAAATCTAGAATCTAACTAAAGAGAAGATCAGAATAAAGTGAATTCTGAGCTGGACTTGGAAGGATGAATAGGAGTTTACAAGTTGAACAAGAGTAGAAAAGGTCCCTGAGGTGAATGGGACAGGATCTCTAAACTCTTGGAGATAAGAAACAGCGTAGAGTGATTAGGTGACAGTAAGTCATTGGCATTCTTGTGGCAAAATGTCACAATGGCATACACTGAGGCTGGGTCAGGGTAAATCATATTTTAGGCAAGGACTCTTTCCTCTTTGAGTCACCTGTCACCTTGTTGTTTTGTTTATTCAAATAATAACTATTGGGAGCATACTATGCAGCAGTCACTGTGTTGGGTGCTAGGAATGCAACTTCCCTCTAAGAACCTAGGGTCCAATTAGGAAGTTAGGTATAAATAGGTGATTACAACACAGTGTCATAAGTGCTTCCATATGGACAAATATATGATGTTTAATTTTTGTAAACTCTACAATAAGATGCCTGAGTTCAGAATCTACTTGTGTCATTTACTAGTTGTGGAACCTTGGAAAAATTACTTAACTTCTCTGTAGCTTAGATTACTTATCTGGGGAAATAATAATAATTACCTCATAGAATTGTTGTGAGCATTAGATGAGTTAAAATATACAGCCTGCTTACAACAGACCTTGGCATAAAATAAGTGTTCAAATGTTATTAGCAACAACTATACTAATCATTCTTGCTATAAGATACTATGGTGGCAGAAAGAAAGGACAACTAACATACAGTAGAAGTCAGAGAAGGTGGAAGAAACATCTAAACAGAGACATAAGGACATATGGGAATTAGCCAAGTAAAAAATAAGTTGGAGGGGAAGAGTTTCAGACCCAGGGGGCAGCATATTCAAAGGCTTATGGGAGGCAGAGTATGGCAAATTCAGGGAACTGTAGCAGGTTCAATAGGGCAGGGATACATAAAGAGAGATGAGGAGTGGGGAAATAAGCTGGAGCAATATCACGAGACATGGTAACTTGAACTCTATCCTAATGGCAATAGATATACACTAAAAGGTTTTAAGTTGGAGAGTGACATGGTCACTCTGGATATAGGGTAGAGAATGCATTGGAGAGAGATAAAACTAGAAAAGAGGATCAAAACTCAAGAATACAAGTACAAAATCAAGCTGGCATGTGCTCAAGTTGTGGAAATGAGAATGAAAAGTTGACAAATTTGTGATATATTAAGCAGGTAGAACAGACAGGACTTGGCAACTGATTGAATGGCAGGATAGAAGGAAAGAGAAGAGTTAAAGGTAGCTCTTAAGCTCCTAGAAACTCAGTGGCCTAAAGTGCCATTTGCTGGGATCTGAACCAGAGGAAGAAAGATCAAATTTGGCAGGAAAGAAGCCAAGTTCACTGTCCTACATGTTGAGTTTGAGGTGTCTATGAGGCATCCAAATGGAGATAATCAATAGATATTTTGATATGTGTGCCCGGAGCTCAGCAGACAACTTCTAGCTAGAGGTGGATTTTGGAGTTACCATGGAATTAAGTCATGTCAGCCAGAGAATGTGCTTAGAGTGAAGAGAAGTAGGGAGATCCTTGAAAATAAAGAATGGTCAGGAAAAAGAACCTAAAATAAAGATTGGAAAAGATAACTATAGACATAGAAGGAAAATCAAGAATATGAGATTTCAAAAGAAATCAAAGCAAGAGAGTATTTCCAAAGAGAGGGCTGTCCAGTAAGATGAATCCTGAGAAAAAGCCACTAGATTTAGTTACACAGAGGTCACTAGTGAATTTGATGGGGCAGTTTTAAAGGAAGGGCAGAGTGTGAATGTCCTTCAAGGTATGGATGTAATAAGCGCCAGAAATTCAGCAAATTTGGCTTTGAAGAGTAGAGAATAAATAAACGGAACAAATGGAGAATGGAAGTGATTGATTTTTTTTTAAGATGGGAAATAATTTGGTCATGATCGGAAGAAGCCAGGAAAGAGTTCTAAAGTTTGAAGATGTAATTCATAAAGGCAATGACTGATAGAACAAGGTCACTGAGGAAGCCAGACATCTCTTCTAGGAATGCGGGAGGACAGGAGGGGATGATGTGTGTGCATGTAAGTTTGTACATGAAAGAATAGGAAGCCAAAAGATTTTCTAAACGATAAATACTATTTGTTTTTATATGAAGCATTAAGTGACATCTTCTCAGAGCGAGTGGGAGATGGCAAGGTAAGGGACTTAGGGAGAACGGACATTTGGAAAATTGTAGAAAGTTTGAGGGGCAGTACAGGGGATCCATTTGAAGCTATAGACTGTGGATTTTTGTGGTACCAATCTGTGAGGATGTTTGATTTTCCACAGTAGTGATCAGTAGCCAAGAAGGCAGACAGGTAGATTAATCTAGGGCTAAGGTTTTACTGAATGGGGTGAGAAAAAGGGCAATGTGTGCTGACGAATATCAGCAAGAGAGTGATTAAGTGAAGAACTGTAGTTTCCAGAATGAATAGAAAGAGAAAAGAGGTCAGTAGGGGATGGGAGAGAGAGAAGTTAGAGACTAGAAGTCTTAATGAGATGTATGGACTGGTCAAAAGTGGAATACTTAGATTTAAGATTTTGGATGATGACCTATTTCTTGGCGAAGTC